CTCCCCACTGTTTTCCTATTTATTTCCCTATTTTGTATCTTATTTTATAACCCAATGAAAATGTTAAACTTAAAAAAAAAATCATAGCAGTAAATGCAGCTCGTTATCCAAAGGGAAATTATTAGAGCTTGAAAGCGGGGATGGTTGGTGAAACTGAGAGATTTCTTTATAATCTGCAACAACTATAATCTCCTGATTATAGTGCAGTTCAATCCTTTTTAATGCAGAAAAGAGTATTGATTTGATTATTTTGATTTAAAAACCAACAATGATTCCATTCAATGCTAAAAAGGAAACAAATCCAATCATATCCACTAGGGGCACTATGAGAACATAAAATTAAAAAACTGCACAAAATTAATAAGTCCTTGATTTATGACTACATTTGAGCTCAACGCTTCTGTTTCGAAGCAAAATATTTAAGTGATTTTTTTTGCCTCCTTTTACAACCTTTTGGGTCACGGTTGTTAAATGAATCACTACAGTTGTTAAGTTAGTAACCCGGTTGTTAAGTGAATCTGGCTTCCCCTTGACTTGGCTTGTCAGAAGATCACAAAAGGGGATCATGTGATCCTGAAATACAGCAACTGTCATAAATGAGTCAATTACCATTTTGTTCATGTGATCATGGGGATGCTGCAGTGGTCGCAAGTATGAAACATGGGTCATAAGCCATTTTTTTCAGTGGCATCGTAACTTTGGTTATTAAATGAATGTAAGTCACAATTACCTGTAGTAGCCGGGAAAAACAAGTCTAAGCAATAGTTTTTTGGCTATTCCGCTACAAGCAGAATTATAACCAATTTTTTAAATGCTACGATTGCTCACTATTTTCACGCTCTTCCTTCCTGTATTCCATCCATGATTTGATGGGAAACAAAATATATATTTTGAATATCATCACATCTTTATTAAAATCTCTGGTAGGCAACTGGGATATTGAAATTGTTACCCTTTTAATTGCTTTGAATTAAAACAAAGAACAGTGAAATACCACCAAAACCAATACAATTGTAGAAGTTAACAGTCATTTACAATGACTTAAAAGCCTTAGGCAACACAGAAGCAGTCCTTCAGAAAGTTTCCTCCTTGGTTTTTTAAAAAATAGCACTATAGCATTATATGGTCTTGGGGTTTATTTTAAGGTAAAAGAGATGAGGTTTTAATCATTGTCAAATCATAACCGTTAGTATGATTTAGCATTACAGCATCATAGGGCTAATAGGTTAAATGTTGCTCCATGTTTTAGCACTAATTAAAAGACTAAGCTAAGCAAGCAATTAAGGACAGCAATTATAAAGATTAAAGTGAACATGTGCTCAATTTCCCTACTTAACTTTTTTTTTAAAAAGTCACAGACCAAGATTTTTTGTTTCAAGCCAAAAAATATATGTATCAAATTTCTACTTTAAAAAAAAATTGAATTTGAAGAAAATATGACAGTTTTATACAAAATACCTGAGACTTGTCCTGTTTCAAGGAAATATGCTGACAAACTTCCAAAGTCACAGAAACTATTTAGAACAGTCTTCCCTTATCTGGTAACTTTTAAGAGTTCAACTCCAACCCTCTTAAAAAGTTGCTGAAAAATACTGGTACAGGAGCATCCTCTTGAAAAACTTAGAGATTGAAAATGCCAGCGTAGAAAAATCTGTTAGTGTAAATAATGCCCTGTTTGGGCAGGGAGGGTTGGACTAGATGACCTGTAAGGTCCCTTCCAACTCTGTTAATCTGTTAAAGATCTGTTAAATGGGCCAGACTTGCATTCTCAACTCCAGTTATTGTGTTTATGAATGAATGATTCACCTTTACCAGTCTTCCCTGCCTTAGAAGCATTGGTTTGCTTTCAATGTAAACATCAGTTGGGTCTCCACATTCACAACTTTTAAGACTGCCAGCAATGCAAGAAGCTGGTCCACCAGTCTTAAAGTTGCCAGATTGGACATCCCTGATTTAAGTCCTTCAACAGCTAGTAGACTAAACTGGTATCAATCAAGAACTCATAGCTCAAGATCTCCTTGAAATGGTCCTCCTGAGGTATTTCTGAAAGTCTGAATTAATATTACAAATCTACTAAGGAAACGGAGAACAACTCATCAATTGCTTGGCTGTCTGATATCTGGAGGATCATAAATTCCCCAACATTGACGGAGGTGACCGATCTGTAGCTGATTGAATCACCCACATAGGAAGATCATGAATGGATTCTCAATGAGTTGAAAATGAAAATATATCTGGGCTGTTCTTTATTGAGCTAATGGTCTCCTCAGTTACTCAGAAGGCCTCTTGAAGACCAGGAGAACGTCAATGTTAAATCTGCCATTTGATCATGATAGGGGGAAAGGAGAATCATAGAGCTGGAAGGGACTTTGGAGGTCTTTTGGTCAAACTGGTCCAAGGCCACACATCATCCAGGACAAATGACTGTCCAATCTTTTCATGGGAACCTTCCATGATGGAAGCACCCATAACTCCAGAAAGCAAGCTGTTATTAATTGTTCTCCCTGTCAGGAAATTCCTCCTTATTTCCAGGTTGAGACCCATTCCTTCTTATTCTACCCACCCTCTCCTGTGCTACAGATTTCCTGAATCTGACAGTGTCTGGTGAGGTCCAGTGAGAAGGTCCTCTGCTCTTCCAGAGCATGCTTCCAATTTCTTGTTGAAACCATACTTGACCTTCCAGTTTGATCTTCAGAATTCTTGTTGGGAAGCAATCATAGGGAGAAGCCATAATTGATCAGGGACCGAATAAGATGCGCAAGAAAGATCAGTGGGAGGATCAATCACAGAGGCACAAAGCTAGCAGTCTCCCCCCACCCCCAAATAAAAGACTCTTTTTTTAAAAAAAATTCACAAATCACTTTGGTGGAGACCCAAAAGTTCTTCGGCTATGTTGATGAGGCCATTGTCTTCCAAGGCAGCCACCAGGCACTGGATGGTGGCCTTCTTGCCCTCCGAGTCAATAAACCTGCGTAGCAACTGGTACGCTTGTTCGTACAGCCCATCACGTTCGTACTCAACGGCCAGGTTATCGATGAAGGGGTCCCGAAGGGCCCGGCATTTGGTCTGCAGGTAGAGGGACCGGCCCACCTGTTTCCACTTCTTGGATACCAGTTTGGCGAACGTCTGGTGGTCATCGGGGTTGATTTTTCTGTTGGCTGCGAAAGGGAGACAGAATATAAATAGAACCTCTTGCATACCTCTCGTTGACAAAGGTTATATTTAGGCTACAGTTCTGTACAGTGTCCCTCAAAGCTCTCCCCCAAGGCTGTACAGGTGTTCTACCTAGGCTGCCCAAGAATATGAAGCCCTGACAAAAACTCCTTTTATTGATTGTGAATTCTGCTCCTCCACATCCAGCAAAGTCTTTCAAAGGCAGGATTTACAGTCACAGACCTTCTCTGGCTTGTGGAGCTGCCGGGCGGATATCTGCAGAACTTGGCAAGGAGTCTCGGAGAGTCACCAACCAATTAAGCAAACTAATTGTCTCCTGCAAACTCCACTCCCCTTTCGCTCCTCTTTTATTTCCTCTGGGAGGGGCCATTCATCGTCCACCTGTGGCCTTACTCCCAAGTGAACCCCTGTTCTTTAGCTGTTCCCTTCGTCTGGCAACTCTGTGCATGTGCACACTGGGAACAGGCTCCAGCTGTTCTTCTGCCTCACTGGTGTCTGCCGCTGAAGGCAGCTGATAACCAACATATAACTGTGGCCCCCTCTCTGCCTCCGACACAGAGCCCTCATGAGAGCCTTCCCCAGACTCCAGGACTGCCCATATTCCTCCCCAACCTCCTCACTGTCCGAATCTGCTGCCAGCTCTGCTGGCCACTGGTGGGCCACAACAACAGGGAGTCCTCAACTTTCTGTCTTTCAGTGATCATTTGAAGTTAACAACAGCCCTGAAAAATGACCATTTTTCACACTTATGACCATTGTAGCATCCTGTAACCATCCTTCATATGTTTTCACCGCCAGCCTGCTAATCCTCTTTGTTGCTCTTCTCTGCACTCCTTCTCCCTGGAATACATTTTTAAAAGCTCCATGGGAGGGAAGGGTGCACATTCTTGGAGGGCATTTCAAGGTTGTACAAGAGCTGCTAACCCATGCGCACACTTTACAGAGTCAGCATGATGTCCCCAACAATCTGGGTCCTCATTTTAACACCTCTGAAGGATGGAAGGCTGAGTCAACCTTGAGCCAGTAAGAATCGAACTCCTGGCAGTGGACAGAGTTAGCCTGCAATACTGCATTCTAACAGACAGGAAGGGAGGAAGGAAGGAAGGAAAGAAGGAAGGAATAGCACTTAGACTTATATACTGCTTCACAGTGCTTTACAGCCCCCTCTAAGCGGTTTACAGAGTCAGCCTATTTGCCCCCAAACAATCTGGGTGCTCATTTTACCAACCTTGGAAGGATGGAAGGCTGAGGCAACCTTGAGCCAGTCAGGATTGAACTCTGGGCAGTGGGCAGAGTTAGCCTGCAATACTTTATTCTACCCAGTGCTCATCATGGATGGATGGATGGACCAATGGATGGATGGAAGGGTAAGAGCAATAGCACTTAAACTTATATACGGTTTCACAGTGCTTTATAGCCCCCTCTAAGTGATTTACAGGGTCAGCCTCTTGCCCCCAACAATCTGGGTCCTCATTTTACTGACCTCAGTAGAGTCAACCTTGAACTGGTCAGGATTGAACTCCTGACAGCGAGCAGAGTGAGCCTGCAATACTTCAGTCTAACGACTGTGCATAATGGATGGCTGATGGATTGTCCTCTAATTCTGATTATAGTGGAAACGTGCCCACCACAGTGAGCAATAGCAATAGCCCTTAGACTTATATACCACTTCACAGCCCGCTCTAAGCGGTTTACAGAGTCAGCATTATTGCCCTCCCAACAATCTGGGTCCTCATTGTACCTACCTTGGAAGGGTGAATCAACCTGACAACCATCCAAAAGAGGATCAAATGACCCTGAGACACTGAGACCATCATAAGAATGTGCCAGTTGCCAAAGCATTGTGAATTTTGATCACATGACCACGGGGATTGCTGCAGCAGCCATAAGTGTGAAAAATGAACTTTTTCTGGTGCCTCTGTAAGTTGGAATGGTCACTAAACAAATGGCTTTGAGTTGAGAGCTACCTGTACGGTCTTTGTGGAGAACCTATTGAATAAGTCTGTACCAGGGGTGGGTTTCTCGCCCTGTTCCAACCGGTTTGGTTGGAATGGGGCCGGCGGCGTCCTCGTGCACGCGCGCAGTGCACGCATGCGTACTAGCGTCTGTGCGATGCTCCAGCTGCTCCTGGAGGATCG